ATTTTTATATTACAATGGAATTGTACAAGGGGATAATTATTTTGTTGAAAAGTTTCTGTCATTAAGATTTATAAAGTTTCTATGAGCATGAACAAAGTTCAAGGAGCTCCCCCACTTCAACAATGCTTGTCTCTCTCACTTTTAGTTTCCTTTTTGAAAAGTTTTGTGTTCCCCTCTATATTTTTCTTAAACATTATAAAGCACTCATCAGAAATAAATGACTCTCTAAAACTTCCAGGTTGTCTCCCTGACAGCGCTTTCTTTAAAGCCATTAAGCTAGGCATAAAGTGCTCAAGTAATGGATCCAACTAGATCCCAAGGTATATCAAAGCCAATTTTAATTAACAATGATTTGGCATTTAGTAATGAGCACAAAGCAACATATATCAAGAAATGACGAAGCCTAACTCTCTTCCTATGCATCGGCATGTCATACCAGAACAATTCATCCACATCAAGTAAAGGCCAATACATAGCATAAGTAGTTTCTTGCAATTTTATCATGTTGGAAACATAAAGAGGTGGAGATGTAGTTACTCTCTCATAATAATTGCAAGTAGGAGCAGCAAGCACATGCATATTACATTCATCAAAATCATCATGTGCAACGGTAAAAGGCAACCCATCAATATAATCCTTAACAAGTGCAAACTTCTTCGATATAGTGTAGTTTGGAGAATTCAAAAAGATAATAGGAATATCATGTGTGGGTGCAATAGCAAGTTCATCTCCAATAGAATAATTCATATTGACATCTTGGCCACAAACATAGCAAGCATCATCAAAAAGGGATATTTCAAACGAACCAAGGTGATAATAGCAATTATCATAGCATTCATCCTTCGCTAAGAACGAAGGGACATTAAAGAATGTATGAGTTGAAGAGTTACTCTCATTAGAAGGTGGGCATGGGTAGCTAATCCGCTCTTCCTCCTTTTGTTCTCCGCTCTCCTCATCATCTTTTTCAACCAATGAGCTCACAGTTTCATCAATTTCTTCTTCCATAGACTCCTGCAAAATATTATTCTCTTCTTGGACAGCGGAGGAGTCCTCAATTTATGGTTTAACATAGGCATTAGAAGCATAATTATCATAACAATATTTTGAAGGAAATATGCCCTAGAGGCAATAATAAAGTTATTATTTATTTCCTTATTTCATGATAAATGTTTATTATTCATGCTAGAATTGTATTAACCAGAAACTTAGTACATGTGTGAATACGTAGACAAAACAAAGTGTCCCTAGTATGCCTCTACTTGACTAGCTCATTGGTCAAAGATGGTTATATTTCCTAACCATAGACATGCATTGTCATTTGATGAACGGGATCACATCATTAGGAGAATGATGTGATGGACATGACCCATCCGTTAGCTTAGCATTATGATCGTTACAGTTTCATTGATACTGCTTTCTTCATGACTTATACATGTTCCTCAGACTATGAGATTATGCAACTCCCGAATATCAGAGGAACACTTTGTGTGCTATCAAATGTGACAATGTAAGTGGGTGATTATAAAGATGCTCTACAGCTGTCTCCGAAGGTGTTTGTTGGGTTGGTATAGATCGAGATTAGGATTTGTCACTCCGTGTTTCGGAGAGGTATCTCTGGACCCTCTCGGTAATGCTCATCACTATAACAGTTGCAAGCAATGTGACTAATGAGTTAGTTGCAAGATGAAGTATTACGGAATGAGTAAAGAGACTTGCCGGTAACGATATTGAACTAAGTATGATGAAGATCTAGGGCATGTAACATACCGATGACAAAGGGAACAACGTATGTTGTTATGCGGTTTGACCGATAAAGATCTTTGTAGAATATGTAGGAGCCAATATGAGCATCCAGGTTCCGCTATTGGTTATTGACCGGAGATGTGTCTCGGTCATGTCTACATAGTTCTCAAACCCGTAGGGTCCACACACTTAATGTTCGATGACGATATGTATTATGAGTTATGTGTATTTGATGACCGAAATTTGTTCGGGGTCCCGAGTGAGATCACGGACGTGATGAGGAGTCTCGAAATGGTCGAGACATAAAGATTGATATATTGGATGGCTATATTCGGTCACCGGAAGTGTTTCGAAAAGTTTCGGGTAAAACCGGAGTGCCGGAGGGGTTACCGGAACCCCCCGGGGAACTAATGGGCCACATTGGGCCTTGGTGGAGAGAGAGAGGGGCGACCAGGGCAGGCCGCCCCCTTCCCCTTGTGTCCGAATTGGACTAGGGAAGGGGAGCGGCGCCCCCCTTTCCTTCTCCCTCTCCCTGTCCTTCCTTCCTCCTCTCCCCCTCTTGGTGGAATCCTACGAGGACTAGTAGTCCTAGTAGGACTCCCCTCTTGGGGGCGCGCCCGAGGGGCCGGCCGGCCTCCCCCTTGCACCTTTATATATGGGGGTAGGGGGGCACCCTAGAACACACAAGTTTCTCTCCCAACCGTGTGCGGTGCCCCCTCCACAGTTACACACCTCGATCATATCATCGTAGTGCTTAGGTGAAGCCCTGCACCGGTAACATCATCATCACCGTCGCCACGCCGTCGTGCTGACGAAACTCACCCTCGTCCTCAACTAGATCAAGAGCACGATGGATGTCATCAAGCTGAACGTGTGCTGAACGCGGAGGTGTCGTACGTCCGGTACTTGATCGGTTGGATCTGAAGAAATTCGACTACATCAACCGCATTATTGAAACGCGTCCGCTTTCGGTCTACGGGGGTACGTGGACACACTCTCCCCTCTCGTTGCTATGCATCACCTAGATAGATCTTGTGTGATCGTAGGAATTTTTTTTAAATTACCGCGTTCCCCAACAGTGGCATCAGAGCCATGTCTATACGTAGATGTTATATGCACGAGTATAACACACATAGTTGTGGGTGATAATAGTCATACTTCTTACCACCAACGTCGTATTTTGATTCGGCGGTATTGTTGGATGAAGCGGCCCGGACCGACATTACATGACCACGTTCATGAGACTGGTTCTACCGACGTGCTTTTGCACATAGGTGGATGGTGATACGTCTCCAACATATCTATAATTTTTGATTGCTCCATGCTACTTTATCTACTGTTTTGGACTATATTGGGCTTTATTTTCCACTTTTATATTATTTTTTGGACTAACCTATTAACCGGAGGCCCAGCCCAGAATTGCTATTTTTTGCCTATTTCAGTGTTTTAAAGAAACGGAATATCAAACGGAGTCCAAACGGAATGAAACCATCGGGAACGTGATTTTCTCACCGAATGTGATCCAGGAGGCTTGGACCCTACTCCAAGAAGCAGAAGAGTCGGTCATGAGGGTGGGGGGCGCCCCCCTAGGGCGCGCCCCCCTGCCTCATGCCCCCCCTGTTGCTCCACCAACGTACTCCTTCCTCCTATATATACCTACGTACCCCCGACAGATCAAATAAGGAGCTAAAAAACTAATTCCACCGCCGCAACTTTCTGTATCCACGAGATCCCATCTTGGGGCCTATTCCGGAGCTCCGCCGGAGGGGGCATCCACCACGAAGGGCTTCTACATCAACACCATAGCCCCTCTGATGAAGTGTGAGTAGTTTACTTCAAACCTTCGGGTCCATAGTTAGTAGCTAGATGGCTTCTTCTCTCTTTTTGGATCTCAATACAATGTTCTCCCCCTCTCTTGTGGAGATCTATTCGATGTAATCTTCTTTTTTGCGGTGTGTTTGTTGAGACCGATGAATTGTGGGTTTATGATCCAGCTTATCTATGAATAATATTTGAATCTTCTCTGAATTCTTTTATGTATAATTGAGTTATCTTTGCAAGTCTCTTCGAATTATCCGTTTGGTTTGGCCAACTAGATTGGTAGTTCTTGCAATGGGAGAAGTGTTTAGCTTTGGGTTCAATCTTGCGGTGTCCTTTCCCAATGACAACAGGGGCAGCAAGACACGTATTATATTGTTGCCATCGAGGATAACAAGATGGGTTTTTTATCATATTGCATGAATTTATCCCTCTACATCATGTCATCTTACTTAAGGCGTTACTCTGTTTTTAACTTAATACTCTAGATGCATGCTGGATAGTGGTCGATGAGTGGAGTAATCTCTATTCCTAATGGAGCAGTTGGTGAATAGTCTGTGCGGTTTATTTTCGCTGGTCAATTTTCGTCGGTTATTTTTCGTCCGGTTTTTTTGTTCCACCTCCCACCACCCTTCGTACGTAACATTAGCTCCCTCCCACACACCGAACCGGTGGAGAAAAAAAATCCAGAAAAAACAGCGCACATGCCCCCGCTCCCTCAATCCCTAGCTAGCCGTCGCTCCTCTTCTCTTCTCCACCCACCGCCACCGCCGCCACCGCACCTCAATCCCGAGCCATTTCCTTCTCTCCCTCTATACCTCCTACACTACCGGCGCTCCTACCCGGACCATCCACGTCCTTCTGACCCACGCGCGCCGCCTGCACTCCACGCCCCCACGCGACGCCACCACACCAAGGGGCACTGATGGCCGCCGCCGGCGTGGGTCTTGGACTTGTGGGCCACCTCATGCCGACATGGTGCCTCCCGGTGACGACCACCACCACCACCTCCTCCTCCTCCTCAAGCCATCACTGTCGCCTCCCCTCCACCATGGCTTGCCTGCGTGAGCCCGACACGGGAGGACGACGTCGACCATGCAGCGGAGCCTAGCGGGCGTGGACCAGCGCAGTGGTCGTCGCCAAGGATCGATGGCCGGCGCTGAAGAGGAGGGGGCCCTCTTCCTGCTGCTATCTTCCCCATCCCCTACGGGCTGGATCTAGAGAAGTACGGTGCATTCCTTCTCCCCTGTGTGTATTTGATGCAATTTGGGGTAACTTTGTAAATACAGGAACTTTGTGTGAACATTATGTGTGCAGTAACTTACAAGGAACAGAAATGCTTGTACCGAGAGAGGGTGAGGGGCTGATTTGTCTAGCACTTTTCTCTTCTAGCAGATATATAAGTTGTTGCCGACGACTCCGGCCGGGCGGGTGATGTTATGCTTGACCACTTCTTGCATGAGATTGTTGACTTGTTGTCTTCTATCTCAAAAATGTCGCTCAGGTTCTTTCTCCGTGTGATAATCCAGCTCGGCTTGACTGGTATGAAAGTCGCATGTTATTCATGTCGCATGTTATTCAGGTTGCACATCTCACAATTGTTTAGAAGAAATGCATATCTTTATCCATATCTACATTTGCTTTTAGTCATAGCAAAAAGGGACAAGGACGGCGACTTCAACAGCGATAGGACGGAAGCCAGTATGCCTGGACCAACAAGCCGGTGTTCTTTATTCCCTTCTTTCATTATGTCGGGAGTGGATAATCAACTTTCGTTTTTCTTTTCTGTACCTTCTTATTTATGCATCTTAGTTAGGAAGCTAACTTCGTTTCTTTGCATCATCATGGAATATTTTTTGTAGGATTTGCAGACATTTGCTAAGCTTAAATACGTGAATATGGACATGTGGTATTATTCATTAGAGTGGGCAGGTGAATGTAGACAAATTCGGTGGTTTATAATTTTTATCAGAGGTTTGTGATGCTATTGTACATGTTCATTAATTTTTTATGGCTATTATTGCACATAGATCAACAACCAGCCTGTTGGTGTTGTTGCAAACTCTTTGTTGTTACATAATTTCAAATCAAATTTCTTAATCATGTACAGATATTTCAGTAAATGACTCCTTTAAACCATACCTAATATCATTATAATTACTAACCCATATTGTGTCCCATAACAAGATATTGGCAGTTAATTATCAATTCTGATGCAGATATTGAGTTCAACGACTTCAGCTGCACATGAAAAATGAGGAATATTTGGAAGTGCTTGAACTGAGTTATTTCCATGTTTATTTTTAGGAATCCTCTATGTATTCATCTTGATATACCTGAACTTAGTTTTTGTTGTTATCGATTCTTGGTGTTGGAAGCTAGGCATAGTTAGGACGTCTTCCAGAAAAATAAACAATGTATCTAAAAGATCAAACATTAGAGTGTACATTCTTGGACTACAAGCTTGTCAAAAATCCTTAGTTACTATTCTTCCAGTACACAGAGATAAGGAGATTGGGAGTACACGGAGATAACAAGATTGGGGGCATGTCTGGTGGTTGCAATGAAATTGTTTATATTGCTGCTTACTGATTGTTGTACATATTTTTTCACCGACATAATAGGACTAAGTAATTTGATCATAAGATAGGTAATAATTGACTTCTGAAAACTGAACTAGCGAGTTAAAGTTTCTGGAAATATTGCAGAGCTAACTTACCTGATAGCCATGATATATATTTGAGTGATAATTGCTTTTTGATTGCGTGAACTAAGGCTAGAAGGAACTAAGGAGCGGCACTTGGAGAAGAGGGGTGCCAAAATCCAACAAGGAATTGGGCATGCAACCACTCCACTGACACAACAATCTCGTTACGTGACGCCGCGTAGATGCCCATTGCGGCGGTGGCCACTGACACCGACGACAATGTGGCATTGCAGCAAGCGACCCCGAAGTTGGCGAGGCCTGCAGCAGACCTCTGCTGTGCACGCCCATCCGACCCTACCTGACGGTGTTCCCTGAGCCATGGTTTGTGCCTTCTCCTCCCCTATATCATCTAACTAATTCCTTGCATGCCATCACCACACAATCCACTAGAGGTAGACTAAGCCATACTGGAAACGAGCTTCTGATTTTCCAGTTTATTTTGTTTCAGAGTTTGCAGTATTTCCCCACTTGATCATGTATACTTCTCTTTTTAATGTATCTATGGTCCTCCTTATACAAAGAAGTTATTCTTTGTAGGTGATGTAAAGTCTTCTTTCTTTTTTGGCTAAAAACGTTCATTGTAGAAAACAAAATTCATGCCTAATGAATGTGTTAGGTGAGATGTGGAGTAAGAGGAGACACCAGACCAGCTCGCAATGCAGTTGGCATGGTTAACATTACAATCTTGGAAAATGATCACCTCTATAGACGAAGGATTTATGGACGTACGAAGGTACTACATAGTGCAAACGCAAGATCTCTCACAAGTATTTCTTCCTCTCCCTTTTTTGAGTCTCCAATCACTGTTTATGCTTTATTACTGCAGGAATGTGGCATATATTATCTAGAAAATGGAATGCTTCCTCCTGATGCCCAATCATGGTGTCATGCTTCATTTGATCCCAAACAACTACTTTGTTTAGTAATTTATTTACTCTTCATCACTGCCTGCAATTTTGATCATTGACTATAGTTTGTAAATCAACTTGAATTTAACTTGGTAAGTTTTAATTGTCTGTTTTTTTCGCTTATCGGTTATGTATGGAGGTTGTCACATGTTTGATTGGACTTCAATTTGGACATGTAGTCCTACATTTCGAGGTATAAGATTGTTGTTTGTTTCTATATTTGAACATTTCTTCTTATGGCGTAGAAACTGTATTCTATTTTCCCTTTTTTGGGCTAACTTGCCTGTAGAAGCTCAAAGGAAGAATTATCGATTGGCTAATCTCTTCTTTCAACCTGTTAGAACTTACATTTTTCCTGCTTAAAGTATTACATGAATACACTAGATAATCACTGGAGCCTGCAGAGTTGACGCAGTATAACAGATTAGCCTGATGCTAAAAGATGTAGTCATGCAGACCTCACCAGTGAGTGAATGTTGGATTAGGTCCTAATCATCCGGATATTGCAGCAACTCTTATAAATGTGGCAATGATGTACCAGGATGCGAGCAATATGAGTACTGCTCTTAGGTATCTTCAGGAAGCACTTAAGAAGAATGAGTGCCTTTTAGGCCCAGGTCATATTCAAACAACAGTTCGCTATCATGCTCTCGTCATTGCATTCAGCTGTATGGGTGCATACAAGCTTTCAGTTTAGGTTAGTTCTGACGAAAAAATGGCGGAATAACATTGTGACACATTTTACTGACTTCATGATTTTGGTGGCAGCATGAAACCAAGGCGCATGATATACTGGTAAAACAGTTAGGGAGTGATGATTCACAAACAAAATATCCAGAAAATTAGTTGAATACATTTAAGGGGCGAGAACAACAAGTATGTGCTGAAAAATTATTTCACATGGTTGCTTCACTCTTGGTTCAGGGATTCTTGCACATTCCCAAAGTAGCAACTTCAAGTTATAGGTAGGAGAAAGTTGCACTTAATGGCTTCAGATCGTGCACATTACATTTTTTCATAGGGGCATATGTTTTTTTGCGAATATGCAAAGCTTGCGTATCATTCCATTATTAGAAAAGAGAATGAGTATAGTCGAGGGTACAACACATGACATGAACGTGCAAAGGCATGAACACTGAACCCGGAGCAGAGAGACAAGGGATGCTCAGCCCAAACATGGAAAAGACACAACTAAACCCACCAATCCTAGAACTAGGGAGGCAGACCAAACAAGCATGACATCGGACATCTCCAAATCCATCACCGGGGACGCCGCAAGCAAGCAAGATAGCGCCTTCAAGAAGGAGAACAACGTCGCAAAGCCGCCACCATACGATCTGGAGAACCGGACCTAGGGTTTCCCACAATGCTCGAAGAGATGTTTATTTGATCTCAAGTTTATTCAAAGTGGGCCACGAGAACTTTATGAATCTGCTTGGCTATTGGTGAAGAACAAAATCCTTTCATCAGAGGTACGATGTTTGAATAAGGTCAAAATGGGGCTCTCTTCGAGCATCTCCATGGTAAGTGTGTACTGATTCTGTTAATTTTCTTACTGTCAACAGAATGGTTCCTATAACGTGCATCCAGTTCAACAATTTTAGCATGTGTTGGTAGCCAACAATTACTAATAATCAGTATTTGAAAATGCTTTGGATTATTCTGCAGTTCTTTTTTTACCGCAGTTATGTTGCAGTCAAAGATACTGAGAACATGGACTGGATGACCCAACTTCAAATGGCGATGGGGATAGCTTACTGTCGAGAGAACATGCTTAAGCTGAATCTACCTGCTAGGCCAAGGAACCTCATCTCAACAGTTATGTTGCAACGGTGTCAGATCTTGATGTCTGGAATGGCACCAAGGGATCTGATTCTGTCACTGATGATTGCATCATGCTATATTTCATTGTGCATCAGTATGGCATCATGCTTAAGTTGAATCTACATACTATAGCTTACTGACGAAGATAATGGCTGCATCTTTTTTAGTTGGTCTCGTCGCATCTAATAGAAAACATACAACTTGATACATTCTGTCGGATGCATATCTTTTTTTCCTGGAAGTCGAACACTCAGAGCAATGATGGTAAACCAGGGGGCATTTATTTTTTTAGTTACAGATTTGCTCAGCAGTCTTGGTGACGTATGATATTTCCTTGGGGGCAAATTCAGATATTTTGCCTCTTTTTCAGATAGCTAAAGATAGTTTTGCTGGCCCCTTGTTTCTTGAAGATAATCTCTTTTGCGCTGTGGAATATTTGGAAATAGATGAATGCTTGGATTTTTTAAGGGAAGCAAGCATCTTTATCCGGATGGCTCTGGTCACATAGAGTTAAAACCAAAGTCCACTCTAAGTGCTTGGATCTCCTCTACGTCTTGAGCTTTTGATCCTTAGACTTTAATTTTTCTTTTTCTTTTAGGGGTATCCTCTACCTCTATGTAATCATGTAGCTTTGTACATTACTCCCCTTTTTCCTCGCTCTATTAATGAAAATTACACAGTAGGGGGTTCCCCTACTGTTTGCCCATCTTTTTTTAAGAAACATCGCTGAAAAGTCTTATTTTTTATTTCATTTAATTTCCTTAGTCATGTGTTGAAATGTTGGGAGATAAAAGTTTATGCTCTATTCACACACCGTGGAGGCAACCATGGCAGTCATAGAGGGGGCTTCTAGATAAAGTAAGACACTAATTGTATATATAACCAGGTTTTGTATACAATGCATGATGAGTATTCTATGTTGCACATTCATAAATCTCCCACGTGAAATTTTCATGACGTTTTATAGGAATTTCTCAAGCACATCAAGGAGATCTTAGTTTATAATAGATACTCCCTCTCTCTTATATTTCTTTACGAAGGGAGTAATTATTAGTGCCCTCTTTGTATTCATTGTTGAATTACATTCTAAGTGGAGTGGATTTTATTTTTTCTATACATGTGAAATTTGAGTAACGAGTTATATATTTATTATTCAGACGGGGTACCGTAGCGGGCTTCCACCTAGCTACATACATTACATTTGTATAGGTGCATTGGTGCAATCATGGAAGAAAAAATCCCGTGGCAACGCACGGGCGTTTTACCAGTAGTAGTAGATGCAGAATCGTTTCGATCTACTTGTCTCAGATGTGATGCCTATATACATGATCATACCTAGATATACTCATAACTATGCTCAATTCTGTCAATTGCTCAACAGTAATTTGTTCACCCACCGTAGAATACTTATGCTCTTGAGAGA